GGTGTGAATGTTATTTATTTTTTTTAATCCTCTGTTAATTGAAATGCTTCGTTAGCTCCTGCAAAGCCCCATAAATGGCACACTTCTTCGTCCTGTGTTTGTGTAGCAGTTCAGATAGCTACCACAAGTAGAAAGTACACTCCACTAGCTTGATCAGCTGTGGCTCAGGGTCCTAGTGTTAAAGTAATTGTGTGCAAAATACTGCCCCTGATGCATCTAACAGATTGGTATTTGTGTGCATGTGTTAGCTGTTAAGGCACGGAACAAAGCTGTATGAACGTGTGTGAAAGGACAAATGTGGTCTGTGTACCAGATGGTTTACTATTTATTTGCTCCTGAAACATTTCCCGTGTTGGCACGTTGAGTGTTACAAAAGAAAAAAAATCTATTTCTTGTCTTGGCTGTGGTTTTGAAAGCTGGACCCTTTCACTAGTAAAATTCTGAGTATTACTATAACGAATGAGGTCAGAATTCCCTTTGACTGTTTCAGTTTTATGGCCCTTGCTCTGCCACACGTCTGACTTAGCGGTTTATTGTTAATAAGTAACAATTTACTTTTCCTATTGCGTCAAGACAGTATGTCTCGTGTAACCAGGCTTTTCTTTAATGCTGAAAGTGAAGCGTCGTGTATATCAATGTGTTTACAGGGCGGCCCTTAGCGGCTGGAAACACAGTGAGATGGACCAAGGCAAGTGTAGTGGAACAAAAAGTATTCATTTGCTATACAGCTCTCCTTACAACAATTTACTCGTCGAGCTTGTTCACAGTACAATATCAACCCTCCCACGACAACCGGCAGCCTTAAATATGTTCAGCTGTCACAGACTAACCCATTCTTCCACTCAGGTAAATTCTCAAATCCCAACCTTCCACCACAGTATACAATATCTCAATTAGAATAAATAAATACATAAATATATTTCACATTTTTATATTAATAAACATTTCACACTTTAATTTTACACCAAACCCAATATTATAAAAAAAAAAAAAAAAAAAAACAAGCACAAAAAGATTCACCACTCTCTCTTTACCAATGGTCTCTCCCGGAACCTTTAAATGGTGTCTGGACCCCTGGGAAGCGTTTGCCCAAACACCTTGAAGAGGACACAGGCAAGAAAGGTGAGTAATTATATCTTACAAACTCTTATTTGCACCACTTTTATTCCTAGATTTCACACCCACACATTTGCATTAGTTTTCTTTACTGGTAAGCCTTAATCACAATCTCAGTCACCATGCTTTTCTCCTCACAGACAACCACCACATTCCTTCATTCCTTGACGAGGAGCAGCTGTGCAGGATCTGAAACAAGGCTACCAACTGATTTTAAAATTCCCAATAAATAGTCAATAAATAATTAAACTTCTTGTGTGCAAATGTTTTACTGTGCAAATCCATGCTTGCATTGCAATGCTAAATAAAGTGCTTGATAAGGTGCTTTTAATAAAGTGAAAGGTGTGCTCTAAAGTGCTATTCAAAGGAGCTTGCAAAGAAAGTGCTATACAGATAATATAATATAAATGACTGTAGTAAGGGAGTCCTCTTCCTTACACTCACACAATGTTAAGTCAGTAGTTGTGTCTCTCAGCCGTGCAGAGCTGAGCAAAGGTTGGTATTCCTTCACATAGCAGCCACATACGTTCTTTGATGTAGTTTTCGGGGCCATGACTCAACTGCAGCTTTCTGCTCGTGCCAGGAATGGTGGATTGTTTTGAGCTCTGTACTCTAGCCAGACTTCTCCGCAGCATGAACATTTTTGCACTGTGTCTTGGTGCATTCATATAACCCCTACTTGTAGAAGACTCATTTCTCCCTCTCTCCCACACACAGCTGCTGCCACATGCTTTTTTTTTTTTATGTGAATGGGACAGGCCTCGTCGACTTTCCATGGAAGAAAGTCAGTTTTGGAGGGAAGGACTGCTTGAGGCACCTTTGTCTTAAGTAGTCTTTTTTTATGTTAGATTAGGATTAGATTTTTTTTTCTTTTTAATCCGAATAATTATGTGAAATTTTGTGTGCTTATGTGTTGATGTAAAAAGTCTCAGTTACTTTCATTCTGTTTCAGTCTTAGCAGTAAACTCCATGTCAGGTGAATAGGCTTATATGCAATCAATCTACCACTGTAGTTTTATTTTTTGTTGTTGTTTTTTAAATTAGATTTTTTCCCCCTTTTTAATCCTGGAGGTAGTTCAATTCAACACAGAAGTACTGCCAGCTTTGTTCCTCTCTAATGGAGGAGTTGTTCTAAATACATCATGGTGCTGTAAACTAATAAATGATCCCATAAGGAAGCTATGTGAACTTTGGTCCCAGTACAGTATGACCACTATTTCGTCTATAATCCAGAGATTACTGAATTATCTTGAGTAAGTAGCTCAGAGTGAATGTAAAAACGGGCTTCCTCTTTCTGACTGTAGCATGAATAGTGTGTGGCACAGATCTGATTTCCATTTCCAAATATTCAAAGACTCACTAAAAAAAAAAAAATTATATACAAAAATACCAATAGTTGACAGTTTTGTTTTGGAGACAAAATGTATATATTTTGCTTCCAAGGAGCTAAACTTTCTTGCAGTTGCAGTTAAGCCATAGTTTTCCAGGCTTTCTAAAGGCCTTTTAAAGTTTTGTTGTTTTTTTTTATATTGGCTGCTTTATTTATTATCAATCCAGTCTTTGTACTTGACTATTTTCAGAAGAATTGTTGCTGCTGTTCTTATTCTTCTCCTTTATTAAGCCACTTAACATCAAAGCATAAAAACGCACCTAATTCAAGGGATAAATCAGTATTGTCTACACATACCAGACAGCCAAATTTAGATTGTCATTTGACATTTTGTCACTAACAACCAGGTCACAAAACATTTTGTTCCCATTTATTTGCTTGAATATATGAAAATTAGCACAAATTACTCAGTTTGACAGGCAGAAAAAATATTTGTGTGCTAACACAATGAAATCCAAAGAGCTATTAGCTAAAAACCTGGAATATCTCAGCCTAGTGTGCACTGTGCCTTTAAAAAAACTCGAGGTAACTGGACAAGTGGAGCACAAAAGAACATGTGATCGGCTTTAACGAAACAATCTACAGCTGATGAACTGTATCTGAAAGTCATGTCCTTATAGAAATAGAAGGGAAATCCAACAAAAACATGGCACAGGACCTGAGAGATGCACCCGGCTCTTCAGTTGATTAATCTTTTGTTGAAGCCTCATAAGAAATGGCCTCAGTTGAAGGGTGGCTGTCAACAAGCCAATGTTAAGGGAAGGAAACATGGAAAAAATGCTGAGGCATGGCAAATTGCACACAAACTTGTACAGTGGTGGAAATTAGTGGCAACATTCTTATGGAATGATCCACGTTTCATCTAAACTGGATGATTAGTTTGGAAAGAGTAACCATCTAAAAATCAACAGCACCTACCTCCAAATGGGGCCATTTTGCAGAAAATCAGTGATCACAATGCATTTTTAGTCATATCTGGTTTCAGAAGTGACCCAGGAGACAATGGGGGGAAAGGGGGAAAAACAGCCAATAGCACTTTTTAAGCATCAGTTACAGTTTTATTTTAACCACTTTTTCTAAAGAATGTTGGCTGTAGACTGATCTTGGTAATAAAATGTCTGTGGGAAGTTGCTCATAGTGTGTATGCACACAGATATGTGACTATGTCAGATCGCTTAGCAGTGAAGAAATGGAAACTGAACTGAGGTCTGGGATTTTAAGGTCAGTGTTGCCATTTTTTTCCATTCATACTTCCACCAGACGAATTCATCTCAGATTCCACGTGAAGAAAAACTGAACATTTTCCCTGTAAGTCACTCTTGACGCATCGCCATGAGGAAGTTGCAGTGAGGTTTTTGCTGGTTTGTTTGTTTTTTAATGGTAGACTGTGAGTGGCTGGAGTAACCTTGTAATCTTATTCCAGACAAAGGCGTTCTGGCTGCTTCTTGTCCTCCGGGTTGAATGAAGAGCGGAGGGAGCGCATCTTGTGTTTGTGTGTGTATGTGTTTGGGGGTTGTGGAGTAGTACTTGGGGTGATGTGAGGCGTTTCAGTGCTGCAGCCCTATTCACCGATGTCCTTCAGTATTCACACCACGCACCGCTCCAACACGGTCAAGTTAGCCCATATAAGCGTGTGTGACTTCCTGCACAGAGCAGATTCCGCCCTTATGGAGAGCTTGTTTTTTTTTTTTTCTCTCGCGACATTTGGGTATGCAAGTAAAAATGACATGGGAATAAATGCATGCACGGTGTTTTAGTTGTACATCTGCATTATCTGTCAGGCCCATAGCTGCAATTAAACTGCACAAGACGAGGCAAAAATACCGTCCAAATTCTGATTTGGCGTGCACTGTGACTTGAGGTTCGCTATAATTTTACCTGCTGATGCTTCCTTCATCACTGTGTTGGATTTGGTCGTTAAATAAAATAATTGGTCGTTAAATAGCTGCTGTCTGCACAGCACACAGTCGGTTGTAATCACATTTCTTATGACATCCTGATTTCAGTTATATTTGAAAGGTTTTCACAAAATAATTTGAATGCATTTGACTGAGTGTAGTGCGATATACTGTATTTGACTTTTGTAAAACACTAAAACAAATCTAGTTGGGAGTAATATATTTCATAGGCACTGTTTGTTTCTAATTGAACTCTTTCACAAGAGTGACTAGTAACAGTGTACAACCAGAGGCATTCAGATTGACTTTGATATTGCATGTGGTTCATTATTAAGGTATACAGCTGAAATGACTGCCAGAGTAAAATATAAAAAGCAGTAAACTGAAATCATCATCGTTGCTCCTTGAAAAAAAAAGTATAATTACTATACATTTGATAAAAATTAGAGTAAATTAGGCTAGAGTAAATTAAATATACTGTGAAAAAATGATAAAGTCACATTTGGGGGTGAAGGTTGTGTGTCCTCATTTGCAGGAGGAACATTAGGCGTTTTAATCTTGTGCTTTTATTTTGAAGATGCAGCTGAATTTCCGTTCTCGCCGTGTATTCCTCCATCTTGACGTCGCTGCTTCTCAATCGTACTCCTTTCCATTCCATCACGGGCACTTCTTTACCGACACTCCCGTCCACCTGACCCTCCTTCCCCGTGGCCGTGAAAAAAAAGACCTTTCTCATTTTTTTCAAAACACAAATACAAGGAGGATAAAAAATGGCAAGCAGTTTCTCGAGAATCCTTTCCTCCAAACGACACATCGGGATCCTGACTTTGGTGGGAGGCTCGGTAACGGCTGGATTTCTCCTCCACCGGGAACATGTTAGCGCCGGAGTGCCTGTTCGCAGGAGGTACCCAGCGAGGTAACGTTTTTTTTTTCAATACTACAACAACTACACACAAATGTAGCCATTATTTTTAGAAGCATTTAGCATAACTTTATCACATATTTTGTGATGTAATGCACAGATTATTAGTTATTAGTAAAGCAGCGCGAATGCTATGTTTTATATTATTTTTTAGTTTTTTGTGAAATATTAATATGTTATTAATATCATTGTTTGCATCAACATAATTAAAATTAATCGTGCAAGAGGCAGCATATAGGGATCACGCACAATCCTAACGTCCTTGCAAAAATACTTGGTTCAGTGATGCTTTTTACGTGAAGTAAAATTAGATTTAATATCGCTCATAACCATCGCACGTATGCAACCTTATGTCTCAAATCTCTGCTTCCTTCAGCTATAATTGTGCTCCTTGCACCAGCCTGCAGAGCAGATGGTTTAGCGCCATAAATATAGGTTTCATGCATGCACCCATTGTTATACATGGATACTGGCGGGATCAAAAGACTCGGAGAGGCCGAGGCGGGGTGCGTACGTGTCCCAGTGCACGCCTGCATGCATTAAAAATGCACCACATACACCATATATAGGTTAGTAAATGATTACTGGTATTCTGATATAAAACCCTGCCCACTGTTATACAAGTGGTCACACCTAAAGAGCTCCTGCAGCAGGGGCGTTAACAAGATTGGTTCAGTGGGGTGGCCCGCATGAAATGGGAATATTTAATTATATTTAAATAGAATGTGGAAAATCACCTGGACTATATCATTTACTAATATTTCGACCCATTTTTTAAAAGTAAAAATCATAATCCTTTTTAAGTGATGGTCCCAAAGTTTTCAAATTTGAAGTAGCTAGTGATTATGGTTGAAACCTTGCAGTAATGGTGCAGTAGGTGGTCGTGGTGTGTTGGCAAAAACTGTAGACAGATGTTGGCATTGCTTCCACATACAATAGGGCTCTAGCCAGATCATCCCTTACAGAGGAATAAATATCTGTCAGATTATTGCAATAAAGAAAACATGCTTGTCTTTGTTTTTTAATCCAAGGACATTTGATCGACAAATAATTTTTCTAGTAAATGGTTCTGAACATACAGTTACACATTTACTCCACAGACACAGACTACTATTACGGAACCTGGTTTTTGTCCAATAAAAATGATGTAAAAAATGGTTTAACAATAAATTTAGAAAACATTTGCCTGTTTCATTTTTGCGCTATGCCATAAAAAATATATACACATACACAAAACAATTCTGGAACATAAAGTTGAATTTGCTGGAAAGTCTAAAGGATTGATTGTCTATGATAAAGATGAGTTTGTGAACGTTTTTTATTTTTGATGTCTTAGCCCTATGCTTTGAGACAAAGTGTAACAAAAACACACACGTTAATTTGTGCTTCTACGGCAGTGCTAATCTTTCAGACTTCTTGGCAACAAGTATTAATTTTTGCTGGTCTTTCACAGCATTTTCTTTTTTTCCCATTAGCGTCTGTGAAAGCCTAAATGTTCATTTGAAAAGCTTGTAGTGTCTAATCTAATTCTGCATCCTCTATCATCATGAAATAAATGGCACTTTTACCATCTCATGAATAGTTGAACATTAACCAAAGAATGCACATTAATGGTGCCGCTGTGCCATGTTTTATAGTACAATGCTCGTGTCCTTCTGTGTCTTACATTAGTGGTGTTTTGTTAGCCGGCAGGGTGTTGTATTAGCAGAAAGTCACAGGTTGACACACCAGTCACTTGCGTACGTGCAATGAAAAACAGTTCCTTGAGTGAGTCACTCATTGTGCCCCTGCTCCAAGGGCAAAAAGTAAACCATCGCCTACACTCCTGTAATTTTTCTCTCTCTCCAATAGCAGCACATTCACATATAATCTTTCATTTGTGTTTGTGCAGTGCGGAGTTCCCAGACCTGCGCAAACACAACAACTGCATGGCCAGTAACCTCACACCTGCAATCTATGCTAAGCTGTGTGATAGGGCCACTCCCAATGGTTTCACACTGGACGAGGCCATCCAGACGGGCGTGGACAACCCTGGGCACCCCTTCATCAAGACCGTTGGCATGGTGGCAGGGGACGAGGAGTCTTATGAGGTCAGACGTCATAGTAACTTTTCGACATACAGGCTTCCTTCTGCATACAAAAACAGGGTTTTGGGTCTAATAGGTTTTAGAAAGAATCACAAGGTAACAGAGAATCCTTCCTTATGCGGAAGAAGACTCATTATTATGTACTTGCATATGCAGCTGTCATCGGGACGTATGTCCTCGGGTCTTCACTACCCTGTTAGTGTTCCCACCCTCATTATCAAGTATGTTTTGTGACATTCACACATGCATACACAGAGTATTACAGTGTCACTGAGGCAGGGTTTTTAGCTGGGACATGTCTTTTGGGATGTCTCAATATCTAAAATGAGGATACTTCAGTACATTTTCATTTTAATTGCCTACTTCATTTAGAAGCTACAGAAATATCTTGGAACTGCTGACAGCAGTGTGTGTGTCTTTGAATGTGATATTAACTATGGATCAGGAGAATAATGAGTGTTTAATCTGTAATGCTGAAGGTTGCAGGTCAACCATTAGACATTTCTGTTACTTGTGATTGTGTAAGCATTTTCCTTAAACAATATGAATACATACCTTTGCAATGTATCATATACTCCCAGCTTTTGACATGTGTGGGAGTTTCTTTTGAACACTTCAGGGTATGGCGTTACTGTAACACAACAGAATGTCAGTGACTTCTGGTAAAGTAGTTACTCAATGTTCAGAGACAGAGTCTTTTTAGGATATTTCAGACCCTTCCACTTTTTTCAGTCATAAAATGTTGGCTAGAAGATTGCACTGCAAAAATATCCACACCTTCCTAGTACTGTGTTGGATCCCTTTTTGCCTTCAGAATTCTTAGTCTTAGTTCACAGATTAAACAAGGTGCTGAAAACATTTCTCAAAGCTTGGTCCATATTGATATGATGGGATCACAGAGTTGCAGTAGATAATAATAATAATGGATTGCATTTATATAGCGCTTTTCGGGACCCCTCAAAGCGCTTTACAATTCCACTATTCATTCACTCTCACATTCATACACTGGTGGAGGCAGCTACAGTTGTAGCCACAGCTGCCCTGGGGCAGACTGACAGAAGCGAGGCTGCCATATTGCGCCATCGGCCCCTCTGGCCATCACCAGTAGGCGGTAGGTGAAGTGTCTTGCCCAAGGACACAACGACCGAGACTGTCCGAGCCGGGGTTCGAACCGGCAACCTTCCGATTACAAGACGAACACCCAACTCTTGAGCCACGATCGCGTAGATTTGTTGCTACGCATCCATATTGTGCAACTCCCATTTCATCAGACCGCACAAGTGCTCTTTCTGGTTATTAAGTGATGACGTGTAAACCCTGCTTCCAGGTCCAAACTCCTACTGATACTGTTGTATCGTTAACATGTTGCAGGGCTTTGTATCTTGTTCTGTTTAATCTTAACAAACCCCTAAAAATAATGAGAGATCACTGTTGGGCTCTGTGGGTTTTTATTACAGTGAGGTCAATAAGTATTTGATCACCCTGTCATTTTGCAAGTTCTCTTACTCAGTCTTGATCTACAATTTTCAGCATAGAGACAGAGAGACTGTGAGAGACAGAATCTAAAAAGAACAATCCGGAAATCACATTATATGATTTTTGAACAATTTATTTGTGAACAAATACTTGTTGACCTCACTGTAGTGCTATTCATCTGCTGCAGTTTAAAACCTTACAATGGAACTACAGCCCATCAGCTAACTATTTGCTAGTTTTCTATCTTCATTTAATGTGAAGTGATAGCAGAGCTGTTTGTTTTAGTTTTTCCAAAATTCCTCATTCAGAACATGGTGTATAATGTTTAGATGGAAACCAGTGATCTAACATCTTGCTACCTTCTAACTCGGTTGAACTTCAGAAATTCTATTTTTCATGGATGGTTGGATGTTAAACTTTCTTGTAACACCTGGGAGCACACTAATCATTTTATTAACGGTAAGAGAGTTTAGACAGTTTGGACCCGGAAACGGTTCATGACTTCGGACTTAAGAGACTGATAGGATTGGGATCTGGTAACTGTGGAGGCCATTTGAGTTCAGGTTCGAAATGATCTGCGGTTTGTGATGTAGCATGTTATCCACCTGAAATGATCCATCATAAGATGGATCATAAAGAGATGAACGTGGTCACCATTAATACTCAAGTAGCCTGTGGTGTTTAAATGATCATCAGTTGGTACTCAGGGGCTCAAAGTGTGTCAAAGAAAATATCTCCAGTTTGGTGAGCCTGTGTGAATCATAGCCTCAATTTCCTTTTCTTATCTGAAAGAAGTAGCACCTGGGTTGGTCTTGTGCTGCTGCGGCCCATCTGCTTCAAAGGTGTGATCATGGCTCAAAAGTTGGCAGTTCGTCTTGTAATCGGAAGACGGAATCGGTTCGAGCCCCGGCTCCGACAGTCTCGGTCTCGGTCCTTGGGCAAGACACTTCACCCGTTGCCTACTGGTGGTGGTCAGAGAGCCCGGTGGCGCCCCAATGTAGCTTACCATTACCAGTGTGTGAATGGGTGGATGACTGAACTTGTAAAGCGCTTTGGGGTCCATAGGGACTAAGTAAAGCGCTATACAAATAAAGGCCATTTACCAAAGGTTGGACGTGTTGAGAGATGCTCATCTGCTTTTAAAGAGTGGTTATTTGAGTTACTGTTGCCTTACTACCAGGTCAAGGCAGTCTGGCCATTATCCTCATCATTACCAACATCAACAAAGTACTTTCACTCAGAGAACTGCTGTTCACTGGATATTTTCTTTTTTCACGCCATTCTCTAAAAACCGTAGCGATGGTTGGGGGGAACATCCTAGTAGTTCCTGAAATACTCAGCCCGTATTGCACCAATGTTCAAAGTCTCTGAAATCATCTTTTCTCCCCATTTACGGCAGATATAGTTTTAAGTGTAACAACCTTTCACACATGCACATGTGCAGTGTGTCCAGTTTTTCCTTCTAGATCTTTTTAAGCCTTGTCATCAGCTTTGAGCCACCGTTGGGTCTCTTCAAAAATTGGGGGGGTTAAAGTCTGAGTTTAGGCTGGGTCTCTCAAGGACAGTCAGAGACTTGTCTTGAAACCAATCCAGCATTCTCTTGGCTGTTGTTGTGAAAATTGATCCATTGTTGGTCTCAGGTTGCTTGCACTCTGGATTAGATTTTCTTTAAAAGCTTCTGTGCATTTGGTTCCATTCCTCCTAGCATCTTCTCTGAGTTCTCTCCCCGCTCTCACCTTCAAAGGGTGATGCTGCCTCTACCATGCCTCACTACTGAAGTACCGATTAGATTTATTCTCATAGAGGAAATCCCCTCTTCCACTAGTTAGTTGAGTGATGTTAGGTATCCAAGTGTATTGTATATTTTTCTTTATCAAATGGTCAGAAATAACGCAGCAATTCAAATATTTTACTGACTGTGCTGTAAATGGGCCGATCAGACTTAAAGGCATATCAGGTGCTGTAAAAATGTGCTTAAGTTACTGTTTAGAGCTTGTTTTATGGTAATTAATGCTAGTGAACATAAACTGATTCGAACAAGCTAATCAACTGCAACATGCATTTTGGAAAATGTATTACCTGCTTTATCAACAAATGACAACAAAATAACAATGATTATATTACTTTAACTTTATCAACTCAATAATTCATGTGACTCAATTTCACTAATAAATGACCCTAATTGTTCGCTCTACTTGGCTTATCAATCACTCCAGACCAGGCATAAGAAAAATCTTTTTTAATTATTCCTTTTCATTGTTGCTTATTTTAAATGAGCAATAATAAATATTTAAAGGTGGAAAAAATAGACTTTTAAAATGAACTCATTAGTAAACCTTATACATGCAATGTCTGAGTATTCTTTATTCCTTTTTCTGGTTTAGGTATTTGCAGACCTTTTGGACCCTGTGATCAAGGAAAGGCACAATGGCTATGACCCCCGCGTCATGAAGCACCCCACTGATCTGGATTCTAGCAAGGTATTACTAACACTGACAGTGCCTGAAGTAGTATTTTACTCCGTGGGCTGGGTATTTGAAAGCAAAATTTGCAAAAAGCATCAAAAAATTAAGAACTACTCATTTTACTCTAAATATGTACGTTTAAATTGTGAAGGCAAAGTGCCTAGTTAGATTTCTAGCTCTCTTTATATACTACAATAACCAGTCTAGAGAAGTATAAAATTCTTCCTCCTCCTCACCTCTTATTTCTTTCACTGTTTTTAAAAAAAAATACATTATATGATCTGATTTACCTGCACAGGTAGCCTTAAACCTCCCCCATCTTTGTTTCAGATCCAGTCAGGTCATTTCGATGAGCGATATGTGTTGTCGTCCAGGGTGAGGACAGGCCGCAGCATCCGCGGCCTGAGCCTGCCACCCGCCTGCACCAGGGCAGAGCGCAGGGAGGTGGAGAGAGTGGTGGTGGATGCCCTGTCTGGCCTGAAGGGTGACCTAACAGGGAAGTACTACAGTCTCACCCAAATGACAGAAAAGGAGCAGCAACAGCTCATTGATGTGAGTGATGACGTCGTGCTGTTGACTCATTTGGAATTTGCATTTGGAAAAAGTCAAGTTTTAGCTACCTCTGCTCTCATTTAATTATTTGTATATTTGTCTTAGAAAAAACATCCTGTAAGTTAATGTATACAATTTCACATTGGAAACCAAAGTTATACTAAAGCATTATATTTTATTTACTACATTTTACAGGTGTTCTATAAGGAAAGATATATTTTCAGTGCCATTGTCTGTTTGCTTGTCTTTTAGCAAGTGTACTTACCAATAGAATTGCATCAAACTTGGCAGAAAGACGAAGCAAAAGAATAACCCATTTCATTTTGGTGCAGATCCAGACTAAAATTGCAAAACTGATACTTGGCCTTGGCAGAGGATGCATTCTCTCATTTTTGTACTTCATATAGTTAGCCTGAAAGAAACGATCCGTCAGTTGATCACATATTTATAAGCTGGAATTTTTTAGCACACTTAACCAGAAAACTCTGGGCCATCAGCTTAATGTTTCTTTGTTATGTTTAGCCTGCTGTTGATGTGATTACAATTCCACTATGTGACCTACAAGAAGAAAAAATAAAGAGAATTTTATCACATATAAGCAGGAGTGGGCGTGTTGTGGTTGACACAGCATTTTTCTCCTCACAATGAGAAAAGATCAGAGTATTGAATTCTCAGGTCTACCTCATTGTTAATGGCTCCCAGCATGCATTTTAGTGATGGAAATAGCAGCAAGAACTCTTGATTGAATGTTGGGTTAAGGTTATTGAGTTGATTGAAGATATTATTTCTAATGTTCTGATGTTGTTTATATTTGTAATTAGTTCTAATTTCTTGATCCCATTTTGTTTTCTTTACCAACAAACACTCTGGACTTAGCTGAGTATAAATCATCCTTTTTTTCTGTATTTCCAACAGGACCACTTCTTGTTTGACAAGCCGGTGTCCCCCCTCCTCACGTGTGCAGGGATGGCTCGTGACTGGCCAGATGCCCGTGGTATTTGGTAAGTGGATAAGGCTGGTAAACAAAACTTCTTCATCTGTTAATTCCAGAAATAAAGAGATCCTAAATACCTTGGTAAAGGTTCATGTAGGTCAGAGAGGTCAAACCTGTTTTATATTATGGGCCAAATAACATGTCCCACTTTGACCTGAGGTGGACCAGAACAGTGAAACTCCCCTTTCTGTCAGAATAAAGACGTTTAACTACACATTTAATCTCTGAGCTATCATAATATACCAAAAAAGAAGTGCAACAACAGTATATCTCACTTTTTCTACATGATAAAGAAATGCTGCTGTAGTAAATGAAAAACATCTGCCAGCGGGACTCTATGGGCTTAAACTGAAATAAAAAGTAAATGTGTTAAACAATAGTGAAAGTTTTATTATCTCATTGCACAGAATGCCGTCTAATTACAAAACAGAAAGTTTTTGTTAATTCACAGAGAATACCCTTTTTTCCCCTCTGTGCATCCACTGTAAAAAACAGAAATTTGTATAGGAGATTCTGCCATTTGATCTTTTTTGTCTGATCTTTAATTACTTTGGTGTAGTATGATTGGACTTTATCAGGCAGAAAAGCTGCAGAATGTATTGAAATACAGTTGTTTCAAAAAAGATTGCCCTATTTCACATTATCTAGGGGGGTCTAGTGGGCCGGACGGCGTCTTTGCCGCTGCGATTCTGGCCTGTGGTCCTTATGTTTTTTACCCCTGATTTAGATCATTGCTGTGTACTGGATTTACACAAGGCGCTGCTGATGGTTGACTAATCTTGTATTTATATTTAAGAATAACATTTTCTTCTTTTCTGAGGGATGACAGTGATGCAGTGTTTGGAGGTGACCCACTATGATATTTAATTAACGTTTTTCTTTACTGCTACAAACTGGAAGTGGGTCATACAAACAGTTATGTAACGTGTTTCTCCCAAGTGAGGCCACTCTTTTAGTCCTTAATGATTAGTTTTCATATTTAACAGTTTTTGTCTTTGTTTTTGGCGTTTCTCCGTCACTGATCCTTGGTGGAGGTGTATTAGCAATGCGGAAAATGCTCCCTCAGCACTGAGTTTCAGCATGTACTCAGGAATAACCCAGTGCAACGTGTCAGCCAGCCAAAATCAATCACCAGCCTCCCTCCTCTCTCCCTCTGCCAGCCGTATCAGCCAACCTGTCCTCAGCTCTCCTTAATAATTCACCTTCACGTCATTCCTTCATCATCTCTTCTTTCAGGAGCTCAGCTTTCTCTTTTTCTGGCTCTCTGATCTTTTCTTTTTTTCACTAACCTTATGTTCAGCTCTGCTGTGAATTGTTTTGCTTATTTTTTAATCCTTTTTTGCTTCTGTTCCGTGTTCTTTTTCTTCCTTTTTATTGCGTCACTGTATTCTCCTTCTCTCTCTCCCTACCCTTTTTAAATGTCTGCCACCATTAAGGTAATAAGCACAGAGAAAAGACTACCTCACAGTAGTCTTATGCGTTGACTTAAAATTTTATAACATTATGCATGAAAAGTTGGCACTTCTAATGACTCATACTGTGTGAGCCTTTCTATGAGGGAGTCTTTTCTTGAAGTGACGTGTACAGTAGGTCATGTATAGTTGGTACTGAACATTAGTATATAGAATATATATTCTCCGGAGTACAATCAGTGTGCACTTTGTAATAGCTTTAGACAGTCTTCAGTCTGGAATAGGAACATGCATCTGTGCAGTCGTGGTTATATCTTCAGAAGTATAAATATTAATGTGAATAAACACTTGTTTGTATCACTGACAGGCTTGACTCTTTATCAGGTAGACTTTACTTTCTTTTATCTGTTTAATAACATGTCTGCTTTCTTTAGTGTTTCATTGAAACCTTGACAAAGCGGTAGTAAAAGACTTAGGGGTGAGGGTTCAGATAATTAGATAATCGTAATAATGGTCAGATAATTCTCCAATTTGAAACATAGCATGTTCAAACTTTATAAAATAGACTCAATATTTTATTCCGTCTGATTAAGAGTGAATGAGGCCATAAACTCGTCAGGAAAGTGTTTAAAGAGGTCAAGACTGAAGGCTGTTTTCCTATAAATGTCTATAGGACCAAAGGTCTTCTTTACAACCATAGCTATCATAGTTTGGAGGCCTTCAGGTAGAATGCAGGGTTAAGGCACCTCTGGATCGGCTTTATTTTCCAGCCCATAACCATTTGGGGTTTTTGTTTTTTTTTACTGTCTATAGTCTGTCCACTTCTGTTTTATATGCTAGTGCAATTACAGAAACTGGGCAACCATCAACCACAAACATGAATACTGTATAATCTATGTCCTTAATCTATGCGCAGGCACAACATTGAGAAGACATTCCTGATTTGGGTCAATGAGGAGGATCACACAAGAGTCATCTCTATGGAGAAGGGAGGAAACATGAAGAGAGTCTTTGAGAGGTTCTGCAGAGGCCTGAAGGAGGTAAGACTGTGTTTGTGTATGCAAGGGGATAATTTGAAACAGCTTAAGGAGAAAAGAACTAAATAGAGAATTTGGGGAGTTGAGCAGGCATGGTGTTTTTCTCCGTTGTGATCTCTGTGCAAATGTGATCCTGGACCATAAGAAATTACTGCCAGCAAATCTGATACACTGCACGATGTTGGCTGTGTGTGATTTAATAAAAGTATTGGATATTAAATTTGATAATGGTAAACTGTGGGTCTGCTGCAGTTTGATGGCTTTATGGATTTAATAAACCTGGCAAGATAATTAATACAGTCTAAAAGCATCACTGTAGAGAATGCTTACAGAATGGAAAAAACTGCTTACACTAGACTTTGACTTCACATGTTGACAGATGCCCAAAAATGGTTGGGCAAACATAAACTGTTTATGTCCTGATGCATACTCATTCGCCCAGGTAAGGAAAGAGGATGTACATGTCATCCTGTCCAGGAAGTATATGTTCCCATAATGAGGGTTTACACATCCTGAACAGGGAGGAACACTGAGTGGGGAGATTTACGTGAAAAGGGAACGACCATCTCTGAATGAAGCAGGGGGGCCTAAGGGTACTTATTTCACCATCTTACAATGCTGTGATTCCAGCCATTCCTCAACTCTGTGAATGGTACTCATGGCCATTGATCAGTGGTTGTTGATCAATGGTCATGACAATTTCCATATTAATCATCAAGAAACTGATCTCACAGCATGTTGTTTGCCAGTGGTGCTAGTTTCAGTCAGTCTGCAGAGGTACTTTTTATAAGGTTGGAGAAACCTGCAGTCAGCTGAGACTGAAGAAGTCAGACAGCGAGCTGAAACAAAACATTTCCCCCACTGAAAACACCATGTCCAGATGAATACAATCAACTTTTTGGGATAAACTGTTTATCCAAAAGCAGGCCAAATTCCCCTTTTGAGAAAGCACTAAAGACAAGCAATACAACATCTGGGGCTTTTATGTACTAAATGTGTGAGGGCCCTGAACAGCAGTCCTTGGCTCTACATTAGCACTGGGTTATCTGTCATTCCACTCCCACCAGAGTTCATTGAACAGTTATAGAAGTTGAGCAACTCGCTATTCTTTTCTTGTCAGCCACAAAATATGAAAACTCAAAGGTGTGGCAGTTATTGCAGTCTGGGAGTGAAACACACTCACTGTCTTGTTTGACTCCATATTCCTCTGTTAGGTGGAGCGTCTGATCCAGGAGAGAGGCTGGGAATTTATGTGGAACGAGAGGCTTGGTTACGTCCTTACCTGCCCCTCAAACCTGGGCACAGGACTGAGGGCCGGTGTCCACGTCAAGCTGCCCCTGCTGAGCAAGGTGAGTTTAATGTTTGTAAAGAAACTCCATACGTTTGTTTCCATACATGTGTTTTATTGGGTTTTGGGGTCACATTTAAAGCACAAGATTTGCACTGTGTGTGGCTTTTTAAAATTAAGCTAGCAAGGATTTCCCGAGTGCCGTTAAACAGACTCAGGACATTTTAGCACATCTTCATTATGTTACATTATTCATTTTGTTCACAAAAAACAAAAACTATCAAAAATTATTAACTCGTTGTCTGATGTGTACCTTTTTTTGCTCAATAACAGCCTCCACTTTTTGTTGTAGTTTTCCACAAGTCTCACATGTCTCCTGAGCAATCCCAAACAACTGTTCTTTGATGAATCTCTCAAGCTCCTCTAGATTTGATGGTCTTCTTCCACCGATCTTGGTCTTCAGTTCATTACAGATTTTTAATGGGAATAAAGTCAGGGCTTTGAGCAAGCCAGTCAATACCCTTCACTTTGGTCTTCTGGAGGTAGTTCTTCAGCAGGAGCGACATGTTTTGGGTCGTTGTCAAGTTGGAAGACAACGCAACGATCCACAAGCAATTACTACTTGAAGTTTTCTTGCAAAATCTTCTTTCTTCATGTTTCCTTCCACCTTGACAAGATTCCCACTTCCCACAGCATAATACTCCCATCTGTGTGTTTCACTGTGGGGATGGCGTTCTCTTCTCCAGAATTAAGTTTCCTGTGCATGGTTCTAGCGATTGTCTTCTTTGAGACTACAGTTCCTGACTTGGCTAAGTCATTCATTCATGTCTTGGGAGTTTTTCTGGGGTTTTTAGACACATCTCTCTTGTTCTTCTTTCCAGAGTCTTTGAAATCTTTCACTTCCTACCTCTGCAAGGCTTGTTCTGCGCTGTGTTGCTCTCTGTGAATTTGTTGATGATACTTCACTCTTCTTAACACTTTAAAACACCTTTGATAACTTTGGATATCCATCGTCTGCTTTGTGAACATCATCAATTCTTTTCTCAAGTCTACAAAAGGAATCTTTAGATTAATTCACCCTTAATAATATTGTGGTTGGTGATTTGAAACGGCGTGAAATAACACCTTTCTGCTTCATCCCAGGATCCTCGCTTCAGTAAGATCCTGGACAACCTGCGTCTGCAGAAGCGAGGGACAGGCGGTGTGGATACTGCAGCTGTGGGTGGTGTATTTGACATCTCCAACCTAGACCGCCTGGGACAGTCTGAGGTAGGGTAAATGAAGTGTGTGGCTACGTCCCTAACCTTTAAGTACACCGCAGATATTACCTGTCAAGCCGTTTTTCCAGGTGTTGTTCATTAACCACAAATACCTCGATAAATTATCCCGGGATAAGCAAAGACAATGCTTTCTCAGTGAGGCTAAAAAAAAGCTAACCATCTTAACCGTGTTACCTAGAAAATATGAGCACAATGTAAACTGTTGCTAAACAAATATTTGGTGAGTCGGATTATTTGGAGTACAGTTAGTACTCCAAGTAAGTATAGCTGGAGCTATTTTTCACAACTGCAAAAGCATAAGAGAAGCTTCTTGTTTGGCCTGTACATGTAATCTGTCTCCGTTATGTCCTTGGCCTCAGCGTCACATGGGTACAGTACAATAGAGGAGCTCTCTATTGTGGTGAGTGCATGGTTGTGTGTTTTATTCTGATGACATCAGAGGAGGCGGGGGCTCTTTGTTGTTTCTGGGTGAAGTGCAGTGTACAAATTAGCCTTCAGTTTGGTACAGATTAAGAATCACTCATCTAATTTTCTTTCTTTAAAATATTGTCTGATTATTGAAAGGCTTGGAAGCTGACCTCCAAGGGTGGAGTCAGTGAGTTAAGGAAAGAGAAAATCTGAATAAGGATGGAGGAATGAGAGAATTGTGAGCAGCTGGGGAAAAGTGCAGGAGGACTACAAGGAGGTGTTCCTCTTTAAGCCCATGTTAACAAATACAGATTTCAGTCTGATATGTTGGTGCCTTTTAAAACACTCAAGGTCACCTTATAATGCAAATAAAATAAACATTAAAATCACAAACCTGTGCAGAAGTCTGAGGAAGTAAAATTAACTCGATGCTTTTTACCCCTCAGTCATAAAAGGCTGACGGAGAATTAGACGCAAGTTCATTAGTGTGATAACACAAAAACAAGGCCACATAGGAGTTTGAAGTTCATACCACGGGTGCTTCGACTGAGCCTTGGACAAGGTCAAAGGTCAGGTTTTCAGAAAAGCTTATGAATGAGATAACATGAGACCAAGGCGACGTACGATTTTGAAACTGATACCATAGATGTGTCTAAGTATTGTTGTTGTTGAATTAATATGATATAAAATACAGAATTTAGAAATACTAAATAAAATAAATATTTAGTAATCCTCATTTTAATTAAAAAAAAACAAACAAACAGTTCTGCGGGTACTTGAAAGTTTCTTGTTAGTTTTTAGGCCCTCAGCAGGTTGTAATTTGACACAGACATGACACCACTGTGAGGACACTGCTGTGTGACACAACAGAATAGAAACTATCTATCAGGACAGGCTGAAGCTATCCCAGCTGCATAGGGTGAGAACACAGAGACAAACAAATTCATGCTCACAGCCACTTTGGAACCACATACTAACCTAATGTCTTTGGACTATGGGAAGAAGCCTGAATACCTAGAGAGAAGCAACACAGACATAGGATTCAAACCCAGGTCCTTCTTGATGCGAGGTGACCGTTCTAACCACTGTTGCATCGTCCTGCTGTGAAAATATATAGATATTTCTGGGTTGTGTGTTATACATCAGCCCCTGTGAAGATTTGAGAAGTGCCTGTTTTTGAGGTGGGCTGTACTTAGCACTAGAGGAGGCACACATTCTGCGTCTTAACTGAGCCATAAGACAGAATCAACAAGAGTACAGGCTGCTTGTATTTATATCTGCTCATCCTTATTTGGTAGGTGGCATTTTGGTTGTGAAGGGTTTGTTTATAGCTGCAGACTGTTTTGTATCTTCAGCCTCTGACAGCATTCAAAGAAAAAGCTGTTAGAAGTACCCTGTATTAGGCTTTCACTATTTTATTTGCTTTAAGATACAAATGTTTTCTGGTCATGTTAATAATTTCTGTCTTGTGTGGCTTACCAAACACAAATGTCACTTGGCTTTGACCTTGATAAAATTACTCTTCCTTATTGCAAAAATAGTGTCTACTTTTTATGTTCTGTGCACTTTCCTGTTCACTTTTATTACTAAAATGTGGCATGTTCATCCTCTCAGGTCCAGCTGGTGCAGACAGTGGTTGATGGCGTCAACTACCTAATTGAGTGTGAGAAGAGACTGGAGAGAGGACAGGACATCAAGGTGCCCCCACCCATCAAGCTGTCCAAGTAGACACTGATCCCTCACCTCCCCACACAGACCTCTGGGCACACACACATGCACAAATTCCTCTCGCTCTCTGTGCCCATAGATATTACAAATATCTATTTCATCGCCTCATTTATTACTACTAATTACACCATCCCACCCCACAGCATACCTCTCTAGAATATAATCTCTTTATATTAGATGTAGCTTCAGGCTCCCAGAACTGCTTTGGGCCTAAGTGAGTGAAGCCTACTGCAGTAAATTCAAAGTTTGATTTAAGCTTAAATCTAAATCCTGCTCTAAGATAGCAGTGGATACGAATAAGGATGCACAAATTATGGGGCTGTTATAAGATGCCCTTTTCTGCATGGCCCAACATCTCTGGCTCTCCTATCAAAGCACTCCTCAGCCTGCCCAAACCTGGCTTACTCCCTTCCTGTCGCATGTCCTGTACACACATCCCCTTTCCTCTCATCTCTGTAGTTTCACTGTTCATGCCTATTAGCTAGTGCTTGTGTAGTTCATCCATCTGTGCTCACCGTGGAGGGTGGATTGTGTGTACATAGTTTACTTTAACTGTTCTGAAGTGGTTTGAATGTAGACCAACAAGCTGAAGACAGAAGACCCATGTGTTCTCCGGATGAGTGGGTTGTTTGGTGACATGCTGGTGTCAGATTATAATTCACACTGGTCCAGTTAAGCTCTGTACTGTATGCTACTGAAGCAATATCATTTGAGTTTATAACTGAATGTCACGCTCTAATGTCTTTTATTAAAGAAATCATCTATTTAACAGTATTTGCTCCACTGTCTGACTCTTATTTTTTTTATGTTTTTTGGGTCCTATGTGAGCTAAATGCAATTTCTTTGGTGTTTTCTACCAATATGAATCCAGAGCTTTGAGTAACCATAGTAACCAAGCTTGCGTGGCATGATTTCTATCAGTGTGGTTGCATAGTGTCATGTGACAATGTTTAGTTGGAAGCATAACAAAACTGTATTATGTTTAAGAGGTCAGTACACGGGGTTCATATTCTCACATGGAGCCCAGACCTGGAAAACAACAATGAGTGATTAAATATTTTAGCTCACCTGCAGGAACTTTGATTTCAAAGAGATGGTATAATGGGGACAAAAGAAATCGTATTAAGTAAAATTCAAGTTACATTAATATGAACTGTTGAAAGACCCGCTCGATAAATGTGTGTTAGAAAATATGGCTGCCCGTTAACAATTTGGCATTTTGAGTCTGGCAATAACCCTAAATATGTCTCTTTCTACTCAGTGGTTGAAATAAAGAACTACACATAACATAGCCTTTGTTTTTAATTCACCTCGGCATAGTGAAGGAAAATGGTGAATGGGACACATTGGGCCAACCCTTTTTTTGTACTAAATCTTGAAAATGTTTTGTCTGGAAACTCTAATGAGCACAAAAGTGCAGTATACCATGTGTATGTTATTATATTATTTAATATTGTATTATCACACTATATTTATTACTGTGCTTTTCTGAGGACATCACTTTTCTTCCAAGAAAAAAAAAGGGATCCAGACCAAGTGGAGACTGAATTACCAAAAACTGTATTTACTCCAGTGGCCACTTGAGGCTCGCTCCAAAAGCAAGTCAATCTCTGTAGACTTCAGTGTAAAGTCAACCAACCTTACAGCATTAAAAAGCATGTTTACACTTTCCCCATTCATAACATCTCTACATAGGGTAATTCTTTTCCTCTGGATAGAGGAGTTTTAGGCCTGCCTTGATTTAATCGCACAGATATTAGCCCTTCTGTGTGATGCACCACATGTTTATGCTTCAACGTTGGAGAGTCAATTTCTATTCTCTAATTTTATTAGGCTTTACTTAGCACTAATCAGCTGAAATGTGTTTCTGCACTGCATTCAGTTTTTTGGATGGATAACCACGGTTTCTAGTATGTTGATAATTTAACACTCCAGTGGAAGCATTCAACCGCTTTGAAATACAGTCTAAAACCAAAGGCTGACATCACAGTGGCTACATCCATCTTTTATAAAGGCTATGATCTCGACACCCAGGCCTCTTCTACAGCCAAACCTTTACTTAGACCGGAGGCAGTCTTTGTTTATATCAGATAACAGATAAGGCCGGTATGTTAGTGAATTAACACCCAAACTAACAACAAACTGATACCCCCCGTGTTGTCTGTGATTATAAAGCCTGATACCCTTTTCCTTTTCACTGGTGTGTAATAACTACTAAAAAATGTAACTTATCTTTCAGTATTACATGAAACATGATCGGTCTCCTCAGTCCCATATGTACTGGCCCCATCCAGCTCATTCAATTACTAACAACATGACAAATATAGGGCAGTCAATAGCGCTGCTGTAGGGAATTATTTTTGAAAGAAGCTTGTGAAGACGTGAGTGTTTTCTCTGCAGTGAAGGAAGTCTCTAACAAGTTCTTTGTCCCCTTGTGAATAAATAGCATTTTATTGTTTCCAGCAGTGAAATAAGCAACAATTTTTCCTGTGTTTTGGTCCGGGGAGCTGACGGGACAACAAGGCGTTCAGTGTTCTGTGGAGACCCGGCTGAGATGTCAAGTGTGGGTGTTTTGAAACGGGAAGACTTGATTTCTCTCCCCTCCTGGATTTGAAGGAAGGTTCTGATGTACTGAATACACTTCCTCGCTCCTCCTTCTCCCTCGAACTGTGTCTCTCACAGTAGTCAGAGCATGTCACTGGCATAATGCTGCAGACGTTCCCTCTCCTTGCTCCAGATATGACTGAGGAGCAAGCAGATTGTCATGGCAACAACTTCACAGAGGGAAGAGGGGCTCTGATGGGGGGGGAGGAAGAGGCTTTGTGGGTAGAAGACAGCAAATCTGTACAGCACAGATGAGAGCCAGTAATTGCATAAGTAAATGCAGGATTTCAAAATAAAATAATGTTTAATACTGAGACTGAGTTAAGTGTGATCACATATTGATTAGATATATATATTACCGTAGACCTCTACCTGCTCAGGATGCTGTAACCTCATTTGATCCCTGTATTTCTCATGTCTTAACTCTGTGATTTCCATCACAGCCATCAATTTACAGTAAACAGATGAAAGAAAAGCAGCTCCCCAGTCTGAGCCACAGCAATAACAGTCTTCCTCAGGTCTGTTTAAGAAGCAAAGTTTACAAGTAAAAAGAGGAATATGCTCATATGTTCTGCTATATGCTATATGTTCACATTTTTACTGTTGGTGTTTTAAATCATTAAATCTAGCAGTGCAGTACATTACAATACACTGTGTATTGTAGTGACTTAATAATATTATTTGGGCAAATATTTCATTGCTATAGATTTCCTGTTAAAAGGCAGTTTTTCCCTCTATCATCACAAAGTTCTTGCCAGTAGGATGTCTGATTGTTTGGTTTTCTGGTGAATACTGTGGGGTCTTTACCTTACACTATAAACTGAGAATTGTGATATGCAAACCCCTACTCCTGTTGTAAGCCTTCTGCTTGAGGCTTGAAATTGAGCCCTGCATGACCTGTTCTGTCAATGCAGCATTCTCATGAAAGCAAGCTGTGACAAACCTGTGACAGTATATATGTGGGAGGGCAACACAGCTGGGAAGGGTCTAAAGAAGGAAGGAACTTAGTCAAAGGTTTTTAATGATGAATGTATGAGGAAATCCAGTGTGAACAGATTTTTCAACCATCCTGCTTTTCTCCAGAAGTTCTTTAAAAAAAAAAAAAAAAAAAAAAAACGATCTAAAAAGCTGAATCTACAAGTGACCAGTCAGAGAAATGGTAACACCTTGGCTCCGGGATTTTTGACCTTCAAAATGAGCTTACTATTTTTCATGAAATAGTAAAAAGTTTCATTTTAAGCATTTAAACATCATTTATGACAGCTGCCCCAAAGTTTCTGGTAGAATAATAAACTAATCTAAACAATTTAGAGCGTCTTCATTTACAGTGCCAGATTATATCCTATTTAAACATACGTGAATTATTTTTATATAATTTGAGCCTTGAAAGAGTTTTTAATATTTAAACTTTCATTACATCAGCTAGTCTCTTTCCCCTAAGGCTGCATTTTGACTGAAAAAAAAAGTCCAAAAGAAACATTGCTAAACGGCACTGCAGTTATTTGAATTTCTTAAGATTTAAGCATTTTGAGATTTCATACTGGGCACCCGCAATATACAAAGTATAGAAAGTAATATAGAAAACATAGAAATATAGAAAGTAAATAAGTAATGTATTGAGAAAAAACACGGGGAAACAATAAAGGGTTAATTGTTATACCAATGTCCCTTTGCAGTAAAAGAGCGCCCTCTGGTGACTGAGAACCTTCACAGACCTCTGGTGGAGAGTTTATATAACGGCAGACTTACAAGTTAGGAAAACGTTTCGGTTTACATCTCAAACAGGATTTCTGCACTAATACACACAAAAATACTTCACTGTGTATATTATTATTATTATTGTATTATCACATTACGTTGTGTAATCTGAGGTTTCTTTTTGTCTGTGTGTATTTGATAATAAAAACGCCTTATAATGAAATAGATGTTGCTGGATAATGGCACTGTTCAAATATATAGCATTCAGCTTGAAATTATCCATATAACGTGGTGGGGTGTGCATGTGACCAGGACTGGAAGGTGTTATAGTTTTATTATCGCTTTCAATTCATTTCAACACAAACTATCAGACAATCCCCTGTCAGCAAGCACTTGGTGACAATGGGAAGGAAAAACTCCCTTTAAACAGGAAGAAAACTCAGGCCTTACCAGGCTCAGGGTGGTGAGGTCATCTGTCCTGACTGGTTGGGGGTGATTGGAGGGAGACAGGACAAAAGACACTCTGTGGAAGAGAGCCGGAGATTAAAAATAACCAATGATTAAATGTATAGTGGTGTATAAACACGTAGAGAGTGAAAAAGGTAAGTGAAGAAGAAACACTCTATTGCAGCTTAACTAAGAGAGAGTTAGGGATCACGTGATTCAGCTCTAACTTTAAGCTTTATCACAAAAGAAATTTTTATACCCAATGTTAAAGCCCCAACAGACACACTTTCTATGTCTCAAAAGAGTAGAAACTTTAATCTGTTCTGTACGCATACAACATAAAGTCTATTTTTTTTACATGATAACACTGTCACTGACTTCATTCGTACAGTGATTTAACATAATGACTTTTGAAAATAAATAATGACATTTTCTACAGGTCCCCAAATTTAGTCAGAATGGAGGTCTTGTTGTAGCTTATGTTACACTGAAGTTGTGAAAATATCTAAGCAAACTTACAGGTCAACACATTACCAAAACAAAGTGACACGTCAGCTTTTAATCATTTAATGGAAACTGATGATTTATCATCATTGTCCAGCAGTCACATCTACTGTTGCTGTAACGGGGACAGTGTTTGACTTCCAGAATGAAAATTACCCAATTTTAATTATATTTGCAAAGTCACACTTCAACACACTAAATCCCAGGAGTTATGGCTTTTTCCACAACAGATATGTGGCATAAAGACAAAAAACAAAAAGCAGAACTGCACATCAGCATGGCGATGAGTCTGTTTGACCTTTCCTCTGACATCTGAGCCAAGGCTCTACCTATATTATGTCTGTGAATAATAGCTCAAGTTATTATTTACATTTTTCTTTACTATGCAACTTATGTGTGTACTATGCAAGTTAATTTGTACACTGAGAAAGTCAAATCTTTCTTTTTCATACCACATCCAATAGTTTTCAAAGCAACTTTTACTCATCTGGTGTGAGTTATACATACACACTTCCATGTCA